TTAAAATCCATTTTTAAATACATTGACATAGAGTTGTTCAAATTAGTCTCAATTTTTAATTTTTTTTACTTTGATAATTATTTACTGTTATCATTTCTTCTTATGGTATTTATGTTTTCTCTTTTAAAAAATAGGCTTTTCAGTTATTTGTCAATTTTGGTGATTTTTCTTCCAAAGAACCAGTATTTTTATTTCATCATAAGTTCTATTATTTATTTTCTACCTCATTATTTTGCTTTTTTCTTTATTAATTTCTTTCCTTTTTTTCCTGTTTACTTTGTGTCTTTTTCTAGCTTTTTGAGTTGCATGTTTAATCTGTCTTCAGTGCATTTTTTTGGTAATTGATTACAAATATTTAATAGTAAGAATTTCCCTTGCAGCTGTGCTTTAATAATGTTCTTTCAATTCTGATGTGTAACAGTCACTGTTGTTATTTTCTATAAACCCTGACAATTTTGTATTGTAATTTTTCAATCACCCAAGAATTGCTTAACATTATGTATTTTAATGTCCAGGTGTAAAAAAAGCTTTTAAAAACAATTTTTAAAATTTGTTTCTAGTTGTGTTGCATTGTGGTCAGAGTACAATAATTGTACAAATATTGATGTTTGCCTACTCTGTGGTCAATTTTTGTGAATTTTCCATTCCATTTTGGAAAACATGTATCCTCTTTCGTAGAATTCAAAATTCAATTTAGATTATTGATTATGTTGTTTAGGTCTTTTGTATCCTAATTTTTTTACCTCACTGCCTCTAGCTTGGGTTAAGAGAGGAGGGTTAAGATTTCCCATTATTAGTGTATTTCTGATTATTTCTTCTTTACTCTCATGTAGTTTCTGCTTTGTGAAAGTGGTTGATGTGCCATTGGGTGCATAAATATTAATAGCTGTATGGATCTTCATTATGATTCATAACATTTAGGATTTTAAAGTGTTCTTCTTTTCTTTACTTAATATTTTTTGCTTGAGATTTACCTTCTGATCACAAAGGCACAACTTTGCTTTCTTTTATATCTGCTTGGTTCGTTCAATCTGAATCCTTGACTCCTTGATTCCCATTATTTAATTTTAGTTTTATAATTAAAGATATAGAATACTTATATGAGTTTTATCTGAATATTCTCCGATAATTTCTTTGTTGGGTATTTTCCTTTTATCACATTGAATTCAGAGGGAGTCCAAGGTTTTGTAAACCTGCTTGGACTTCAGTTAGGCCAACAAAACCCCAAACCAAAAGGTGACACTCACTAAAATAAGGCTTGGGCATCTAACCCTGACTGTGGTAATATGCCTTCTGATTTTAATTCCCTACATAATATTCATTTTTTCCCTTTTCCTAATAAATATAACCCTGATTTTGTATGTTGCTGAAAGATAACATATCCCAGCCTCCCTTCTAGCCAGGATGTGGTCATGGGACACATATCTGGCCAGCAAGACATGATTGAAAAGCTGGGGATTTCTGAGATGTTTCACATTTTCAAAACTGTGCATTCTATTCTTTTTTTTTTTTAAAGATTTTATTTATTTGACAGAGAGACAGAGAGAGAGGGAACACAAGCAGGGGGAGTGGGAGAGGGAGAAGCAGGCTTCCCACGGAGCAGGGAGCCCGATGCGGGGCTCGATCCCAGGACCCTGGGATCATGACCTGAGCTGAAGGCAGATGCTTAATGACTGAGGCACCCAGGCGCCCCTCCTATATGTCTTATTCTTGTTTTCTTCCTCTTCCTCCTCTTTCGCTTCCTACTCTTTTTTCCTCTTCATCTTCAGCTTCCCTGGAAAATGAACAGGAAACTGGGAGGTGGAACAGTCACCGTTCAATCTTAAGGTGACCATGGGAGGAAAGCCATTTGTTAATGATGGCATAGCAGGAGGATACAGACCATGTGCTATTATTGATATGCTTACTTTTCGACTCCCTGCCTCTGGACTTCTTGTTTTGTAAAAAATATAAACACCTATGTAGCTAACTCTCTGTGACGGGGTTTGTATTACACACCGTTAAACATATACATAACTAATAAATTGAACTTCATTTCTACACTCACATGGCTTCTTCCTTAGCTTTATTTCCCACTGTCATCCCTAAGTTTGCTTCTTGAACTTAAGGGAAAATTAATTTTCTTTGCTTTTGACTTTTGGCATTCCTTTGGGCTTGACTCTCATTCTCTGTCTTATCCTCCCCCTTTCCATTCATCTCAACCACATGACAATTTTCTTAGCTGACTACTTCTCTTTCTTCGTGTGAGGACATCCCATGGTTCTGGAGGCTGCTGCTTACCTGGAACATACCGAGATGGTCTCGAGCTTTTGACTCTGATATAATGAGAATACAGTTTCAAAGCCAAATTTCAGTTCCAAATGGAGCCTTTTAAGTCATTCATGGGTACATTGGTTCTGGAGTGGTAAAGGCAACAATTTGCATACAAGAAAACATGGTAGACATTCCCCCCCATCAGGTCCGCAGGCACTTTCAGTGCCCCAAGTGCTAAACCCACACCTCCCTCAACTCTGCCTGGTTCCTGGTATGTGCTCCCTAGTGCAGTGTGTGGGAGAGCCAGCTCTGGTAAATGGAGTGCACTCAGAAAATGAGACCAGGGTCTGTGAGCAAGGGAGAAATCACAAACTTGAGCTGTAGCGCCACCTTTTGGAAAACAAAAGCTAGGTTTCCAGTAGCCAGCCTGGTGAATCTTAAGAACCAAAGACACAAAAGCTTAAGAATTCTTCCACAAGAGGAACTAAGAAGTGTGGAGGGGGTGTGCCCATAGAAGGTCAGAGAAGGCCCTCATATAATAGGACCAATGAACAATATATCCCACCTGAAGGCAACTAGTAAAAATTTGAGAGTGCGTCTACTACCTCGAATGTGAAAGCAACAATGCAAAACTCTAAAAGCGTGAAGAATCGAGGACACATATCATCACCAAAAGATAATAATCCTCCAGTTGTTGAGAACCCAAAGACACAGAATTTTGCAATCTAAATGATAAATTATTCTGAATTGCTGTTTTGAGGTAACTCAGTGAGCTACAAGAAAACATGAAAAGACAATTCAACAAAAATCAGGAAAGCAATATATGAACAAAATGAGAAATTTAGCAAAGACATAGAAATCATAAAAAGGACGAAACAGAAATTCTAGAGCTGAAGAATTCAGAGAATGAAATGAAAAATGCAATAGAAAGCATCTACAGAAAAGTAGCTACTACAATTTGTTAACAAAACAAAATATAAAAAAAGTAAATTGTGACATCAAAGATATAAAAGGGGAGGAGTAAAAGGGTAGAACTTTTGTGTGCAATTGAAGTTAGGTCGCTATCAAGTTAAAATAGACTGTTTTATCTATGAGATGTTTTTATATGAGCCTTATGGCAACCACAAAGCAAAAACCTAGAGTAGATTCACAATAGATAAAGAAAGGGGAATCAGAGCAGAAAAAGAGGACAAGCCTTGCCTAATCCAGAATGGCTACTCTGATCTTTGCTGTTAATGAAAATGGTGATCCAGGTACCTGTGTAGCTCCCAAGGATGGGCTGGAATCTGGACTTCAGTCAGAGCCTTAGATGGGAGATTCAGGTTTCAATGCCACATGTTGGCAAAATGTAATCATAGTAGGATACATAATACCCAAATTTCAACAATGGGCAGATTATCCAGACATATAATCAACCAGGAAGGGACTCCTGGGTGGCTCAGGTGGTGAAGTGTCTGCCTTCGGCTCAGGTCATGATCCCAGGGTCCTGGGATAGAGTCCCACATCGGGCTCCCTGCTGAGCAGGGAGCCTGCTCCTCCCTCTCCCTCTGCTTGTGCTCTCTCTGTCAAATAAATAAAATCTTTAAAAAAAAATCAACTAGGAAATGTTGAACTTGAACCATACATTAGACTAAATTGACCTAAGACGTTTCTAGAACATTCCATCCAACAGCAGCAGAATACACATTCTTCTCTAGTGCATATGGAACATTTTCCAGAATAGGTCATATAATAGGCCACAAAACGAATATCAGCCAATTTAAGAAGACCAAAACCATATAGACTATAAACTATCCTTTCTAGCATGAAACTAGAAATCAATAACAAGAGGAGAGCTGAAAAATTTACAAGCATGTGAAAACTAAACCACACATTCCTGAACAACCAATAGATCAAAGAAGAAATTGAAAAGGAAATTAAAAAATATCATGAAACAAATGAAAATGGAAACACAGCACCCCAAAATGCATGGGATGCTGCAACTGCAAATGCAGTTCTTAGAGGGAAGGATAAAGTGACAAATGTATATATTGAGAAAATCGAAAGATCTCAAATAAACAACCTAACTTTACATCTCAAGATCTACAAAAACAAGAAAAGGGCGCCTGGGTGGCTCAGTCGTTAAGCATCTGCCTTCGGCTCAGGTCATGATCCCAGGGTCCTGGGATCGAGCCCCTCATGGGGCTCCCTGCTCCGCGGGAAGCCTGCTTCTCCCTCTCCCACTCCCCCTGCTTGTGTTCCCTCTCTCGCTGTGTCTCTCTCTGTCAAATAAATCTTAAAAAAATCTTAAAAAAAAAAACAAGAAAAAAGTAAGCCCAAAGTTGACAGCAGTAAGGAATAACAAAGATCAGAGTGGAAATAAATGAAATAGAGACCAGAAAAACAATAGAAAGATCAACAAAACTAAGAGCTGTTTTGTTTTCTTTTTTAAGATAAACAAAACTGACTAAGAGCATGTGACTCCTCAGAAGGAGGCAGCTGATACTTAGCTCCAAGAAGAGAGTTGTCTTGTAGCTTTAATATTGCCTGATGATCTATTTTTTTTAAAGATAAGCCAGAAGTCAATATATTTATATAAAATACATCAATTTTTCAATGTTGGCCCAAAATGTCAAAGCACTGTGCAGCCATTCAAATCATGAAGCCATGTCTGAGCACTAGGTTTGGCTCATGGGCTATGAGCTTAGGAAGAAGAGGTGTTTGGAAGGAGTGGGGTCACGAAGAGGCGAGAAAACAGACGATGGTAAAGAAGCTTGAAAATTTTATTTATCCACCTTTGATATATTGAAAGCGGAGCACTTTTATGACAAACGTTTTAAGAGGAATGTCTCTTTCCAGTTTTACCACTGTGGCTACTAGTCCTCCCTTATCCTACCATTACAATGCAGATATATTGTGATTGAAATAATTTATATGTACAAATTATACCACAGAAAAATAATTTCATTGTTGATGTAAGCAGGTTAGGGTACTTCATCCAAAATAAGAAAATGAGAGAATTCTGCATTTTCATATTTTAAAGTTGGTATTTTAGCAATATTTCGACAATGGTTTATTCCATGTACAATCTTTGGCTACACAACATTAAAAGAAAATTTATTTATTGGCATGCAAAGCAATATGGTTTCAGAATACATCTCTTAAATTTACAGAACTTAAAATTTCAAATATCCCACGTGGCTGGCAGGTGATGTGAAGATGATCTTGAAGAGTGACATACTTACTTCCTAGAAATTAAAAAAAATGGCAGTGATTTAGCATAGCTCTAATATTGAGATGATATAGTTAATTTATCCAGGAAATATTTCAGTGATATACTTTGATAAAACTTGTTTGTCCATCTTTTCATCTTATAAATCCCTTAGTCTTTTGAACTCTTCAAATATTTGCATTCAGAGATGACTTATCCTAAAGTCCCCTTATCAAAAATATAAAGTTTATGAATAATTATAAAAAGCATTTATACCTTATCAAGATAAGTGGCTAAGGTTTGGTCTTTAGATTTTTACTATGATGCTTATTACATTCAGTATCTAATACCGTGCTTGCTGGTATTTTACTTTGTGCTACAATGTCAACATATATAGATAGCAATTTTTAATGTGACATTGATATGCGAATGACTTAACATCTCCTTGTTTTATTCATATCTGTGTTCCTGATGCCTTGTCCCTTGTTGACACACAGGAAATGTTTTTGGAATAAATGGGTGAATGGAGAAGACTGTAATGGTCAAAAATGAATATAGTGATGTTTTCTTAAACGATTCCTAAATTTGATTATATACCAAAAGACTAAATAAAGACCCTCTCCCCCACATAGGGAACAACCCGTGGCCTGTCTGATAATATTTATGGAAGTTTTGATGGTTTTCAGAATTAACTAAAATACAGTCACCTCTCGGTAATTTTGGTCTGAAGCAGCCAGTTTATAAAGTCCCGGGTGGCAAGATTATCAAGAACTGTGTTCATCTCATCAGAAAAAGAGCCGTCGGCGTGTCGGCGGCGTAATTCTTCAACAATGGCGACTTCTTCCGGGAACCTGAGAAAAAAGGGGTCAAATGAGTACTTGGTTAAATGTTTTAAGTCCTTATTGATTGCCTATCCCTGGTAACTCGCGTGAGGATCACCGAGAAAATAGTTGTTGTTTTTTTTTTAAGATTTTATTTATTTGACAGACAGAGACACAGCGAGAGAGAGAGAACACAAGCTTGGAGAGTGGGAGAGGGAGAAGCAGGCTTCCCGCTGAGCGGGGAGCCCGATATGGGGCTCGAACCCAGGAGCCTGGGATCATGACCTGAGCTGAAAGCAGACGCTTAACGACTAAGCCACCCAGGCTCCCCGAGGAAATAGTTTCTATTTTCCAGGATCCTACTAGGAAAAAGCCTCACAGAAACCTGCATGTGGGAAAGGGAATGATTTAGGTCGGACAGAGCAGAGCTGAGAGCTGAAACCAAACCTGTGTAGCTTCACACCCTTTTCAATATTCCAGGCTACTTCGAATGGCAGCACAGATGTTATTACTGAAACTTAGTTTGTCTATAATTCAGAAAAATGTATTATGTCTCGTAAAACTAGTGATTATTTGAACAGCCCTGCAAAGTGCAGTATGAAGGGATTAAAACTTAGTCTATGTAACATTTTCTTTTTGAATGGTTTAGTATAGCAGAATTTTTGGCATTATGTTAAAACACTATAAAATATCTTCAAGTGTAAGCGACTATTTTACCATTAGTTTTATCAGTTTGATCATTCTTGTTTTAAAAGTCAGTGACAATACTAGTTTCCTTTTGTCTTAAGATCTCTTTAAGTCTCAGTTAGTTTGTTTTAAATCTCACTAAAAAAAAACCAAACCAGAGTCGAACATGAATTCCCTGCCTCTCATATTTCAAGTGTCAATCAAAATGATCAGGAGAAAATGAGATGGTTCAGGAATCTGTTTGGTTGTGGTAAGTTCCAAGAGAGTCCCAAACGGCTTTAGCTTCATTTTCAACTTTGACGATTTAGTGGTTGTCTATATGACAGCCCTATTAAAAAATGGGCATATCGTTAACTCTATGGGTGTTTTCACCTACCCATACTTTGAGTGGCATTTCATTACACATCTTAAGTTTTGTTCCCTTTTGTCTTCATCACGTTTTTACCTGAATCCTGACACACACGTATATGTGATCCTACAGGTAAATATTTACAGTCAGACTTTCAGTTTTCAGTACTATGTCTTCTTTTTCCTTATCTCTAGTTTTCCCAAGACAGTTCCAGTTTAAGCTTGTCGTCCTGGTACAGTTATCAAAAGCATTCTCTTTGTTATCAAGAGTGTCCTGGGTTGACAAATGACTACCCTAATTATAACACAACTATACTAGAGGATGATTATTAATTATAAATATTATTAATACTTGCTATCAAAAATAAAACAAGACTAGACTTTTGTAGACTGTCTCCCACCAATTCGAGTTATTTCCTCACTTTGTGAGACTATACTAATTGCTTCTGTAATCCAGATCCATATATAGATAACTGTAGTCTAAGTTTTCAGCATCATGCAAAAAAAAAAAAATGTTAAATAAGAATGTACAGACTTACTCTCGCCTTCCCCGGCCTTTCACCAGCCAAGCAATGAATTCCTTGGCAGCTTGGCCTTCCAAATAAGAACTTACATCACTGGTAAAGGTCCCTTCAGCATGTCTCTCAAATTCATCATGACGTTTGGCAATGTTATTCCTGAAAGAAATGTGAAAGTTAAGTTGAAGATCTGTCTCTTTAGCAATATGGTTCTCACCTTTAAGCAGTGCAGCTTTGGGTTCGGGATCCTATGTAGAAGGGGCTTAGGGAGATCTGGGAGATGAGGGTGGCCCGGGGATCATTCTGAAGCTACATGAATTACCTGGATCCAAGGTTGACGGGACAGGGCTAATAACAATTGAGGTGGGCCAGAGCCCCTCCACTCTACCCAGCACACCAATTTTCGCCTCCCGGGCTTGTCTGTGCCATTGATTATTAAAGCTGCATTTCCTTCGGTCTCAATACATGTGGGTTCTGCACTGTGCTGTGCTACTTGCAAGCGAGGCAGCTGTTTGTTGGTAGTCCATACGGGGTCAGAGTTAATGGAAATGGTTCAGGGGAAAGCAGAGGACTATTTCAAAATATTGTCAAAAGGACCACATGATAAGGATTAAAGGAAATGGGTGATGGGCCATCCATGAAGAAAGCTGAGAAGAAGACTCCATTTCACCCTCAAGGGTGTGCAGAGAGCTTTGTGTAGGGGGTGACCAGCTGCCCTCAGTTTCCCCTACATATATTGCCCCAGAAGGTTGATCTTGAACACACAACAGAAAACCACCTGAGAAAAAAATTGTTAGTTTATCCCGTTAGTTTATCACATTGTGGCATTCCCTTTCTAGAAATGAGGACAGTTGTTTTCATTTTCTTAAGTTCGTGATTGCCCACATTTTACCAATGGTCTCATCCATAGTCCTTGACAGGGACTGCTCCCAGCATCTGCTCTGGCCATGACCGCCATCTTTCCTGCAGCTCTAACTTCCACTTGAAGAACGTGAGGTCAACCACCCTGTCGTCGCTCCTGTTTCTCCTGCTGGCTCTGTTCAGTCTCTTGCTCTCACCTCCTCTCTCCCTTCTCTATTCTCTCCAGACAAATCTATGCCCTTTTCCTGATTTTTAGATTCCTTTAGCTACTTCGTATGCATAACTCCCTTCCCCTTGTGGGCCACCCTCCAAAGAAATTGTGAAATTCCACCATCTCTGTGAAACCCTTGCGGATGATTTCCTCCAGTAGCCTAGATGTAGCAAAAAACCCAACACTGTCAAAGAAAATCCAACATTAAAATGTATGCCTTACGATAGGCTTGTGTTCTTATTTGCCTTCTTCTCTCTTTATGCTGTGCAGCTAGGCTGTGATTTTAAATGTGTATCTTGGATTGTATTCTACAAGAAAAAGACTGCATCTGTTTCCAGTCCTTACCATGGATTAACTTGGCTAGAGGATACTTTGAATGTGATCACAGTCGTGAGTTTGAACCCTACAAGGGAATGTTGAATTTGCTCTATCTTTTGGTCAGAAATTAGATTCCTAAACTTGCAGGTCCACAGAGGTCAACTTCCGATTTTAAAGGGAAATGGGCCAAGACACAGTTGGGAATATCATTTAAAGTCCATGTCCCATTGGAGGGTGGGTAAGAGGACTGGAGGGGTGGGGGGACATTCAGAGGAATAATATCAAGGATAGCATCACCAACCTTGAAAATCAGCAAAGTTGGAAGAGTTTATGGGCATGATTTGATGAGCATGATAAAAAAAAAAGGTCGGGGGAAATTTAAGACATATTTATGTAGTACATTTGTGTGCAACTTTTGGACCTGGTTCAGAACCTTACTTGTTCCTCTTGGTGCTCATCAACCACTGCACGAAATCCTGAGCACGCCTGGAGTCCAGATACTTGCTGTAGTCACTGGTGAACGTGCCCTGAGAATGGCGCTTGTCTTCATTCATCTGATCTGGATCATTGAGCGGGTCTGTCTGGGGAGCTGGGAATGATCTGTGAAGAACAGTAATTGGAGCAAGTAAATCTCTCCTCAAGAGTAGAATCACTTGAACAGCATCTTCTCTACAAAATACAGCACTATATGAAGCTGGAAGGCAGGTGCCTTGAGTATTTCAGTGGGTAGTTCAGAGACACCTTTAGCTTGCCATGGGAATTCCACAGTTTTATTGGAATTGAATACACTCTGATTCTGAATTCTAGTAGTAGATTTTTCAACTGGCTTCTTTTTTCTGAAATGGGATTAAAGAAATCTTTTTTTTCCACTAGTGCATCTACTCATGATTATGCTAATAATGACAGAAGAGATCAATGGCTTCAATATTTTAAAAGAGTAAAACTCTCCACCTCATTTGTTGGGCAGCAGCAGATTTATGTCCCTAATTGTGTTTATGCATATATTAATATAAAGAAGTAGCTCAGTTACCTGGTTATATGGTAGCTAATGGTGGAAGAAAGACAAACACTCAAAGACAAGAATAAGGGCACTTGGTAATTTGAAACTGTATAGTGGATCATATGCATGCCAGTCATCAACAGTTGGTTGGCATGGCAAATATGGGGAAATATTCAATGTGATTAATATTCAGAAATAGAAATCAGATACTATTTTCACCTGTCCAATTAGCAATGATTAAATACTGGGGAGGATAGTGTGAGAGAAGTATTTCTATACTGCTGATGGGAGTGTGTATGTGTGTGACTTTTCTGGAAAGCAAGTTGGCAAGATAATATAAAAAATGTAGACTCATTCAAAACCTTTGACATAGTAATTTTACTACTAGAAATCTATCCCTAGAAAATAGTAAGAAACATAGGGGGAAATGTTATTTGCAGCATTCTTTGCGGGAAAATTTGAAGAATTCTTAAGTGTTCAATAAAGGAGGAATAGCTAAATAAATATTATACATTTGTGAGATGAAATAGTATGCAGCCATTAAAGGGTCATACATTTAATAGGTATTTTTAATGATATAAGAAAGAACTAACAATATAATGAAAGAGAAAAAACATAGCATCTGGGATATATTTATATAAGTGCACATAAAATACAGGAAAGTAATACACCCAATTTTAGAATTATGAATAGTTTTCTCTGAATAGTGAAGCTTGAGTACTTGAAAAAATTTTGCATGGTTTTAAAATATTTTCTATCATGAACACATATGACTTTCCCAATTAGCAAGTAACCGTTACTTTTTAAAAGGAGTAAAAGAGACACAAAATTGGTATGAATAATTAAAAATAATCTACTCTACAATGTGTAATGAATAGATAGATAGGATCAGCGGAAGATTTCAAAGAGCCGTAATTTCCTGTGTGACGGATTTTCAACATTGCCCACCCCTTTTGTTATGAGATAGCACATACTCTGATCCATACTGCAGAAAAGCCTTATCACAATGATACCTTGAACATTTGGAAAAACGTGCAGAGTATTTTACTGAGACCTAGTCACTATCATAGTTTTTACAGACTCTATTCTAACACTGATGTTATGTTAGTTCAAGTCTAGGGATTGCATACCTGGATTTCTCCTCTGTGTCTTGAAGGGAGCGTTGCCAGCTACCTTGTACCAGCATTACAAACAATCCGGCCACAAAGTAAATGCTTTTCATTTTTGCTGCCTGTGGGAACACAGAGTCAGGGTCCGGGGTTGGGGTCAGGGGGGAGGCCAGCAACCATATTTAAACCTGTCAGATTAAATTAGTTCGATTTTGACTAAGTAAATATTACAGATAGAATAAGCTAGTCATCGATTTTACTCTGACAATTTTTCCAGCTGAATTTCAAATAGTAGAGTATATCTTTCCCCAGATTTTGTTCGGTGACAAAAAGGATACAAAAGATTTGTTCCACCCAATTAAAAAAAAAAAAAGATATGTACCACCAGCTAAGCTTTTTTATTAGTGTAGGACACTTGTGTTAATGATAGAAGGTTCATTTCCAGACTTGAAATTAAAAATGTCCATGATAAACATTTAAAATATCTACTCTAGATGATATGCTACATATGGTTAGCCTGAATGGTACCTTCCATAATGCCACCCCCTTCACTATCAGTCTGGCTTTCAATTAATAGTCCTCCTCTTCCAAGCATTTACATTATACTGCATTTCAACCATCTTAAAGCAGCCTCAGGCTACAACTTGGCATACCAGCTGTCGGTTCAGATGTATTATTCATTTATATTTTAAATAGTGTAACTTGGTCTAGACTTTGTAATTATAAAGCGGCCAACAGATTTGAGGTATTTTAGGGTGCTTTGACCTGTTCTAAATTAAAGGGAAAAATCATTTTAAAGACAAGCAATTTGCAACAAGAACTAATGCTTCTGGCAACTTGAACAATCACAACCAAGAAACTAAAGAGATCACTGTCATAAAGAAAATTAACGCTCGCTTCTGAAGTCTTGGAAGTCCCCAGGTTGTTTTATAGTTGGACTTAGTCCAGGACATGTCATTCACTGCTACTGACACCCTAGGCCTGGGTGTATGATACACCTGATTGCTTGTCTTCATAGCTCAAGCAGATGCCCTGTGAAGCCATTGGATGCCAAGGACATGATGATGAAGCGTGGATGGGGTGGGGATCAGTATGAGTGCGGGGCGGCCACATGGCCCACGGGGCAAGCTCCTCTATGCACTGCGTGGAAACTTCGCACCCGGTGTTTGTCATGGACTTCTCTCTGCTACTTTCAAGACCAACCGTGTTTACTTTGAGAAGTGGGGATTTCAATCCAAGTTTGATTATGCTTATCCATAAATAATTTGAGCGAGTATTTTTAGCACATGGCATTTGTTTGAAATAAGGATTTTACGAACATTATCATTTTAAACTATCAATCTTTTCTTTTACATCCTCGCCATATTTACTATCTGTCTTTGGCCCTGAAACATGGAGACGGTAGTACCTGCAGTGGAATTTTTTTTTCTTTTTTTGAAACATTGTCTTTGTGGATTAAGTGGTCAATTCGACAAAGCAACACAGTAGGAATTACATATTCGCCCTTCTTCGTTCATCAGTATTAAGTTACTAATTTGGCATTTTGCTCCGTTTCAGCTTATCTAGTTGTCATATTTGCAGATAGTGTCTTCTGATTATAACTCTCAGCTGTAAATTCAGGCTTTGGGGAATTTAAAAAATTAAAACAAGCATTTTTTTTAGGGTTACCTTACTTTTAAAAAGTCATTTTAGTCCTAAATAATTCCTTCTATGCGAAGTTCCAAAAGATTTGACAATATTTTCTAGTATGTTCTACAGAGTCAGATTTAGAACAGGTGGGATCCTGCCACTGTGGGAACTAACTGAAAGAGAAGCAACTGTACGGAAGTGAATATTTGAAGTCCTCTACAGGCAATAAAATGAGTTCTACTGCAAAAGGAACTGATTTTTTAAAAATTTCTTTTATTCATTTAGTAGAAGCCTATGGAATTGTGAAAAAATTAAGAATAAGATTAATTGTTTGAAATCCACTACTGAGAAAGCAAATATTTATGTTATTTTAGGTTAAGCTCCTACTCAATAAGAGAAGAATTTTAATCCCCCCCCACTTTTGGTAGTCTAAGGAGAGAATCTGCAGTTTTTTAAGAACCACACATTTCTACACAAATTTAAAGGAAAATATCATAACAATAGTATTCTTTGTGTAGGAAGTCTTTTAGGAAGATAAACCTTAGACCTCGGCAAGGTGACATTATATTACATCCCCAAAATATATTGGTGTTGTAAGCCAAATAAGTACTTCTCAAACTGGTTGGCTCATTTCCTCTCCTAGGTCCTTCATATATGAGGCAGAAACACACCACTTTATCATTTTTCCATTGAGGATCTTTGTAAAATTGTTCTTTGTCCTTAAGAACTTAAATAGGTACTTTAGAACATCTGTATTTTTCTAAAGAGATTTACTAAAATTTCACTTCAGAATGTGTACATTTTAGATATATTATTTATTATTATTGGTCTTTAATGCATAGTAAGGAGTTATTAATCTGTGGTTTTACTCAGTTCCATCCAAAGGCTTCCTAATCATTGACTATATTTTTCTCTGCACCAGATATGCTATGTCTCGTTTACAAAGAGCTGATTTCATGGACTTCGATTTTTTTTTGATAGACTTAGAAATTTGAATATTTGAAAGATGATGTTGATTCTGCTCTTTTAGAAAACCATAAGTTTTCATTGGTAAGGAGCAATTGCTGTTATAGCTTCTCTAATGGACACAATTCTGCTGAATTTAAAAGGCGCCTTCTGTTCAAAGTAGTATACACATTTATCAAACCCAAGGAAAATATTTATTTTTCAAAATGTTACCACTTAAAAATTCAGTTCTCATAACAGTTAAATCTTATAACAAGGGCATTGATTCGAATCTTTGTTTTTCTTTCTATTTTATATCTTTGCATTGAATTATTTATCCAATTCATTTTTCAGCATCACTCTGTTGAAATAAATATATGTAAATGCATTTTTTAATCACTTTTTCATTTCCATTCTGCCCCTTGAATTATTAGCAATAAGGTATAAGATGAAAGAACAGGACTTCATTCATCATACTTTGCTCCCTTAAAAATACCTAACTGTACCCCAAACAGGATTTACAGTGTTGCAATCCCTCACTAGGGATCTTACCTTCTGACACCGTGACAGGAACAGAGCAGGTGGAGAGAGAGCAAGCCCGCTTTTCGGACCTCTGGACGTGCTTTGTCCTGAGCTCTGTACTTCTACAGCAGAGCGCACCGCATTTATATACTCTCAGCGCTGTTCAGACTCACAGATATTATGCTGACAATATAAATTTCTCATCTGTAAATAATGAGTTTTTGTTACAAACGATTTCACTCGCCCACTCACTTTGCTCATCCGCATTCTATGCTTATATTGGGTGGGGCCTCTGAGACCAGGAAACTTTTTATTTACTCTCCTGCTTTTTTTTGTTGTTGTTGGGAATGGAAAGGGCAGTTTGGAAATTTACCCTTCACTCTCAGTCAGGCATGAAAATCACTTAAGTACTCTAAAGTGAATTCTGATGCCGAAGACAAAAAAACCTTGAAATTACATAGTTTATGGCTAACCCCACTTTGAGCAGGGCCTCATTTGAGGGTCTTACAAATCCTTCCTTTTGCTGTCTAGTTATGATGCCTTTATCTGAATGCAATAATTAGTTCATGCTATCACCTACCCAAATAATAAATCATTCACTCAACACACACTTAATAAGAATCTTCTCATCCCCACCCTATGTAATTAATTTGTATTATTTTGGAGGGCAATTTTAAAAAATATCAATTAAGACCTAATGTGTCCTGTGGTGGTAAATTGGATTCAGGCAGAAAGGATCAAGTAAAATGAGGATTAAACATCCAAGACAGGTGATGATAATAAGACAGGGACTAGTATTTCTTTTTTCTTCTAATGGATATATAAAGACTAACTGTGTTGATAAGAGACCCAGCCACTAATTCACAAAAGAACGAATTTGAGGAAAACTCTTGACATGAGATGCATACTGTCACATTTCCTGAGTTTTGCGATCTGCCACTTAGGACTTTAATGATCTATAGGATTTAGCAGATATGAGTCTGGCCATTTTAGAGAAAGAGAAAAATGCAAAATGACCTGGACACACAGTATGAGAACAGTGTCAGTGTAGTTAGATTTTGGTCTGGCTGCTATCAACAAACTGGGTGACCATGGTCAAGTCACACACTCTCCTCGTGCCTCAGCCTCCTCACCTGCAAGACGAGAGGATTGGTTACATGACTCTTGTAAGATGAAACTGTGATTCCATATGACAAAATCATTGAAATATCTCCTAGCTAGATCCCAGTATTTGAATACCATCAACTGCATGACAAATCTGATGACTTGTATGGAAGTAAATCATGGAAGCAACCGGAGAAACATTCCCAGTGAACTTAAACTCTTCAGTTGTGGATTGGACCCACTGTTGGATGTAGAGCCAGTTAAAGGCCACGGAGATCAGTTCTGTGTGCAATTGGGAGACCCCAGGAAGAGGGTTTGTGCTGGTGGTTACTGATGGCGATTCAAAGTGTGGTCCAAAAACCGACATCACCCGGGAGCTTGCTAGGAATGCAGACTCTCGGGCCCAAGCCCAGGCCTACCCAATAAGAATCTGCACTTTACCAAGATCCCCAGGCAATTCATATGCATATTTAAGTCTGAAAAGTATGGTTGCATAAAATCTATGCCTCGTTTTCTTCATCTTCTCCCCAATGCTTGCTGGTATTTTCACCTGAGGATTTCTTCTTAGCACTGCCAGCAGGGGGGGAGAAAGAGCAGAGAAAGGTGGCCTTCCTCAGGACAGTATGGATTAACACTTACAAATACAGTAATGGCTTGAAAGTGTGGATAAGTTTACTGTTGAATTGTTCTTCCCTCTTACCTCAATCTTCATGAGTGTACTGACTATATTTGTATTAATTGTTTGACATTCAGTTCTATTTTTTCTCTTTGCCTATTTGAATAAATGTCTCTTCAGCCCTCTGTGTCTGTCTTCTTTTCAGATGTTACCTGTTTGTGGAGCAGTCCTAAGGGGGGGCTCGGTGGACGATGTATATAAAGCCCTTAACACAGCACCTGGCTTTGCTCTCCCCTAATATCTTACCACAAAACTTGTTTCCCTCCACTGCACTTGCTTTCTATTATTTCAGAAGGGACTATTCCAAGTTCTTTGAGGAAATTTCCTCTAGCTTTATCTCCAGCCCACCAACACTGATTCTTGGCAGTCCCCAACACCATTAATAATAAGCATTTTGAAAACGCAGAAGCATTCCAAACCTCATTGTACAGAGCACCGTTCTTGTACGTAGCAGGGGCAGAGCAGGCTCCTGTTATCAGAAATTAAGTCAAACATCAGTGCAGTTGTGGACTTGTGGATCTTCTTCCAAAGACTGTCCCAACACCAGCCTCCACTTGGCCTTCATTCCCATCATTGTAGATATTTGGTCATTCAGCTGTGAGGCAGAGAAAGTGGGGTCCTTGTATTTAAATGACTAGTGTCAAATAGTTTGTTTGGAAGAAGGGAAATTCTGAGATATGTCATCTAGAGTTCTCCCATCAGACTGTGGGAGGTACCTGGTGGCTGCCAGAGAGCATTGCCACATAATAGCTATGATACACCTTCCTGAAAGATGAATTTGACTTGATATAAATAATATAAAACATAATTATTATATGGAGTAGTACAAAAATGTGCATCAAGTTTTAAGGTAAAATAAGGTATTTATTCAAAGATTTCTTGCTTTCTTTATGATGCTTAGGACCAGGGATAACTTTTATGGGCTTAAAATCTATGCTGTTACATGAGGCCACATGTTTAGAAGGGCCCTGTGCTTGGCTTAATACTCTACTCTGATCATCTTGAAATTCTTAGTAACTTTTTTTTCTTAAAGATTTTATTTATTTATTTGACAGAAAGAGACACAGCGAGAGAGGGAACACAAGCAGGGGGAGTCCGAGAGGGAGAAGCAGGCTTCCCGCCGAGCAGGGAGCCCGATGCGGGGCTCCATTCCAGGACCCTGGGACCATGACCCTGGGACCATGACCCGAGCCGAAGGCAGACACTAAACAACTGAGCCACCCAGGCGCCCCAGAAATTCTTAACAACTTTTGAACAAGGGCTCTGCATTTTTGTTTTGCATTTGGCCCCACAAATTATGTAGTGGGTTCTTAGGACTTCACTGATAAAATCATGGAGTATAGGATATTTGCATGTTTATTTTTCTCAGCTGCTCAGAATAGTTGGGTTGAAATGTTTGAGAATGGCAAAGATCACTACACTCTGGTAGCAAGACTATGGACAAAGTGACCTCTCTTGCATTGCTGATGGGAGCACAACATGTTACAGCATGTTCAGGGGCACAATTTGACAATATTGCAAAATTACAAATACCTATAATGCTTGGCCCCATAAGGCTAAAGCACCATTCTGAAAGTTTGTCCCAATTTTATTACTACATATATATGTAATGATGGAGGTACAAGCCTCTTCATTGCAGCGTTGTGTATAATAGTAACAAGTTGGAGCTAATCCAAGGAACCATCAATAGAGCAGGGTTTAGAAAAAAACAACGAAGAAGCTTTTCATTCACCAATATAGAAAGACTCTAAGATATGTTGTTAGGTGAAAATAGGGAGGTGATTATGGATATATATATAGTAGGCCACTTTTGTGTTAGGAGAGAGAATGGGACAAATATATGTTTATTTAATCATCACTACATTTAAAATAATTGGAAGAATGCACAAGAAACTAATGAAAGCTCCTACCTGCCAGAGGCAGTATGGAACAGTGAGGTAGAGAGAAACAGGGTGCCAAGAATACTTCTCAATATATACTTGTTATCCTTTGGGGTTTTTTGTCCACTTGATTTAATTATCTATTCAAAATAACAAAGAAATATGATATAAAAAGAAGTGACAGCACAACCACTTTGGGAAGAGGTTAAACTTTAAAGCTAAGTGAACAACTACCCTTTGACCTAGTAATTTTACCCAAGAGAAATGAAAACATTTATCTACAAAAAGACTCATACAAAAATGTTCACAGCAGCTTTCGAGCTATCGCTAAAACTGGAAACAACTTAACAGTCAGAAAGTAAAATAGTAGGGCGCCTGGGTGGCTCAGTCGTTAAGCGACTCTGCCTTTGGCTCAGGTCATGATCCCAGGGTCCCGGGATGGAGCCCCGTGTCGGGCTCCCTGCTCAGTGGGGAGTCTGCTTCTCCCTCTCCCACTCCCCCTGCTTGTGTTCCTGCTCTCACTGTCTCTCTCTGTCAAATAAATAAATAAAATCTAAAAAAAAAAAGAAAGTAAAATAGTAGACAAATTGTGGTATGGAATTTATACAGTAGAATACTACTAACCTACGATAACAAAAAAAAGAATGAAAAACGGGTACTGGCAGCAATGTGGATGAATTTCCACAGATATTGTGCTGAGTGAAAGAAGCTGGACACACAAAAACACTGTATGAACCCATTTTTAGAAGTTAAAGAACAGGCAAAACTAAGGTTAAAAAATCAGATTTATATAAATTTGATTTATATAAATTTTAGCTAAAAGAAAAAAATTATATAATTTATAAAGAGGAGTGCCTGGGTGGTGTCGTCGGTTAAGTGTCTGACTCTTGGTTTCAGTTCAGGTCATGATCTCAGGGTCCTAGGCCTGAGCCTTGCATCGGGCTCCCTGCTCAGTGTGGAGGGTGCCTGAGATTCTCTCTCCCCCTCTCTGTCTGCCCCTCCTGCTAAAATAAATAAATAAATAAAATAAATAAATAGGCATGCAAGTAAATAAATAAATAAATAAAAGAAAATCTTTAAAAAAAATAAAAAGAGCTGTTGGTAGAAGTATAAATCATACTAGCATGGCTGAATATTGATAATTGTTGAGTTGGCTGTTGAGTAAACAGGGTTTATTATGTGATTCTGCTTATACTATATAAGTATGAAACTTTCCAAAACAATAAGTCAGATGAAAACTGTAATAAAGTAAGTTGTGGGGTGGGGCATTAGCACCAATTTATCAGTTACTTTGAAAGCTAAAGAGTTTGACCTTTTACCCTGTAGGACAACATCACGTGAAATATCCACATTATAGTCGTTCCAGAAGAAGAAGAAGAGAGAAAGGGTTAGAAAAATTATTTGAAGAAATAATAGCTGAAAATTTCCCTAAACTGGGGAAGGAAATAGACAT